TGCAAAATACATAGTTTCACATAGCATGTAACACATAAGCATGCTTGTCTAGATGCAGAATTCTAGGGAAAGGGATTAAATACATAGGCATATAGGCACACATAAGCACATAGCATACAAGCCCTATCTATTGCAAAAAGGGAGGCCTACTACAATCTAAAAAGGGGAAGACTTAGAAAAATAAATCCTAACTATTACATTGGCTAGCTAAGACGTGTCTTCAAGAGAGGCGTCAAAACCTAGCTATTACAAATTGGGATTCAAATGCCCTCAAATGACTTGCCAATTAAAGAAGGCAAAATAAAAAGAAAGCGAAACAGGCAATTAAACATTAATAAAATGAAAAGCGAATTAAAACATGCATATTCACACAATACATGTAGGAGCACGTAGGAGAAATAAAATCAAGGAGATAGAGGTTACTTCCCTTGCAATGGTAGTGAAATGAAGGAAATATTAGTTTCAAAACAATAAAAGGGTCAAGGCACCAATTAAATAGTAAAGTATAAACAAAATATAAATTAAACCAACAAATCACCAAATCCTTCCCCATTTAAATGTAATAAAATAATGCATAATTTCGAAGAAAAGTAAATTATCAATCAATTTTCTAAAATAGAAATGACTAAGGACCCAATAGCAACATTAACCAATCATTCAAGTCCAATTAAAATATTTTAGGAACCTCAAAGGTCCATGAGCAATGAAAAGGTCAAACGATGGTTCAAATTGCAATTACTTTAGGACCTAATTACAAGAAATTAGAACATTTATTGGGCCTTTGTAGCATTAACCAAAAAACAAGGGGTTGAAATGTAATTTCTGAATCCTTTTGCATGCATGTTACGTAGAAACTTTCTTATGCAACATTCATTCGAAGCTTTCTGCAACTTCAAGCTTCCGAATGTAGATTTCATACAAAGACTTCAAACAAAAACTAACAAAGACCATCACTCAACACCATTTGACAACTAGACACCCAAACATGAACACTAAACCACTGAAGATCAAATGAAGACCAATGAAGAACCAAATGGAAGAGATGTGCAACAAGGGGAACGCAAAAACCAACTACCATTCTTTCTGCAAGATTTCTTCTTCAACCGAAGCATATCCGTGCAAAGTGACTCCAGCCAAAACTCAGATGTAACAACCTCAATCCATTACTACCATTAACCAAATACATTTACACATTTCCAAGATAGTAAAGAGGGCAGCTAGTCAAGAAAGATGCAGCAAAGGTGCTTCAAAAGAAATTCAAGAAATGCTATGGCTGCAACGAACGGGCTTGCCATGTTGCAGCCTGCAATGACTTCGCACTTGCTACGAGTTATATATGCTCAAACAGCCAAACAAACCAGCAAATCAAACAAAACCAAAACCTCATTCATTACGCAACTAACTTCAGTGTCAAAAAGAAAGGAAAAGCTACTGCAACAAGCCGATAGCTTTCAAGTTCATTGCAGCAGATTTTATACACGACTCCATACCAGAAAAATAAACTCGAATCTTCAAACACTTTTCCTACTTCACAAGCATAAAACTCTTTGAATTAAACATACAAACAAAAAAAAATCAGAACTAGGCATGCAAGAATGGAGAACAAGCTTTCTGCAACTGTATAATCATCGTGCGAAGATCCATTCACACACCAGACTTTGTCTCCAATTTTCGGTTCAAGCATATAAGATTATGCAGCCTCCTAACGAGATTACCCAAACGTCATGCTCTAATTTCAAGCAAACAAAATTATAGCAAATCGACATTTATATGCACACAAAAACCTTCTGCAGCCATTTCATTCAGCCTAGATCTACTCATGTGAAAAAAACTCAGACAAGCCCCCACAGTAGACAAATTCCCACTATAATGATTTCAGCCCGTCTATAATCGCATTACCCACATAACATTGCCCAATTCCAGAAATTCTAACCATGTTTCTAACTACAGAAATGCAGGAAAAAAAAACTTGCAGCAAACAGGAACTAGATTCATTGAAGTTACTGCCTTTTTAACCAAAACATCTAATCATTGAACCTCCATTTACCCTAAAGCTTTTAAATACACGTGAATCTCTCAAAAGCATCAGAACGCACAGAAAGATGAATTAACAGATGCATGTACAAGGAAGGAACAAAAACAGGTGTGATGAATTCAAGCCTTCACAAAACAAAACTGGATTTACCTCAGGAGAAACACGCTGTTTCTGGAAACGAAGATCCACGAAATGCTTTTTTTACTCTGATGAAGTAGCTCCTCCTTTCCAGCTCTCGGTTATTCTCTGTTTCTTTCCTCTAAACCCTCACGGCTGAAACACTTTCTTCCTATTTGCCCAAAACCCGTAACTTTCCTTGCCCTTTACACAGTCGAAACCATTTCTTACTTTTCTCAACTCTTTCTCGTTCTTTTCTCTCGATTTTTTCAATCTCCGCCGCCCTCTTTTTTCAGCTCTCTTTCCGTTGCTCTCTCCTTCGCTCTCTCTCTCGCTCTCTCTTAGTTTTCTCGCTTCCTTTCTTGCTTTCTATCTTTCGGCCGTCAGCCCCTCTATCCTCTCAACCCCCAGCCGTCACTCCTCTCTTGTTTCATCCGCCCCCCTTTAGCCGTCATTCGATCCTTTTTATATGGAGTACCAATTCTCAACCCTCACCTCAAAGGTCCCGATGAGAGTTGGGATTTGCTCACTGTTTTAGAGCCACCCGATAGTCTTGTTCCAGAAGGTCCTTGAAAAGAATCCAAGGAAATGAGGTGGCTGGAAATTTTTTTTTGGGAGAAAAACCAGAAAATGAATAGAAAATGGCGGTGAAAAATAGTGCCACAATGCCTCTGTATTTCTGTCGCCTGCATGGCCCCTTTTTTTTTTAACAACTAAATACCAAACTTGCATAAATCAAATCTAAAAAATGTAAAGCATATTTTTTGTGAACAATTTCTTTTCCAATAAAATTTCAATGCTAAAAAATGTCTAAAAATAAAATTTAAGAAACCAATGAGCAAAAAGAGATAATAATAATAAATAAAGCTAAATTAAAAGATTTAATAGCTAAAATACTAAAAAGTCTAAAATAAAATCATAAGATTAATAAAATAAAAAATAGACAATAATTATCAATAAAATAAAATAAATTAAAATTTTGGTGTCTACAGGACTGGCGTTTGAAATATTTATTTCTTTTTGAGTTTAATTTTTTTTGGGTATTTTTACTAGTTTATGCCCCATTCTTCTCGCATAGGTGAATTGATATACGATTTTAAGGTTGAGAAGGTTGCGCTAGGTGAGGGCGAAGACCAGGAGACGAAAAGAAAGACAATCATCTACTGCAAACGAGTCAGTAGATGACGAATATAGTATGGCAAACACCCAAACACCAAGGGAGTCAACTGCCCCAGAGTTGACTCACCAGTCCTTGTGCATCACATTCCCCACTTTGGCTGAGAATACCGTCTTCGAGCTAAAGTCGGGGTTGATTCATCTCCTACCCTCGTTCTATGGTCTCTCTGGTGAAGAACCCCACAAACACGTCAAGAAATTCGAAGTGGTTTGCTCTAATATAAAATCTCTTGGGGTCACTGAAGAGCAAATTAGATTGAGAGCTTTCCCTTTCTCTTTCAAGGATGCAGCTAAAGTTGGCTATACTACCTACCTGCAGGTAGTATTACCACATGGGCACAGTTGAAAAAGAAGCGTTTAGAAAAATTCTTCCCTGTATCCGGGGCTGCAAGTTTGAGGAATGAGATATGCAGCATTAAGCAATATCTCGGGGGTTCTTGTATGACTACTGAGAAATGTTCAATAAGTTGTGCACTAGATACCCGCAACATTAAATTAGTGAACAACTGCTGATCCAATATTTTTATAAAGGGCTCCAGTCTACAGACAGGAGTATCATTGACGCTGCGAGTGGAGGAGCACCGGCAAACAAGACACCGAAGGGAGCATGAGAACTTATCGAAGCCATGGGAAAAAACTCTCAGCAATTTGGCTTCTGCGAGAGCAACCCCACCTGTAGAGTCAACGAGGTAGAGAATCCATCCATACAGCAGCAACTGTCAGAGTTGACGTCGGTTGTTAGGCAATTAGCCATGGGGAGTACACAACGAGCGAAAGTATGTGGAATTTGTGCAAACATAGAGCACTGTATGGACACATGTCCCCTTTTGCAAGAGAATGGAGCGAAATAGGTAAACATGGCCGGAGGCGTGCTTGCACCCCGCAGGCAGTATGACCCGTATTCCAACACGTACAACCCCGGTTGGAGAGACCATCCCAATTTCAACTATGGGAACAGGCCACAAAATTCATTCTCAAATCGTCCACCAGGGTTTCAGCAACCATGACAACCAAAGCCTCAACCTCCCTTCTCCAACTCAGGAAGCTCTTTGGAGGATATTGTCAAGAGTCTGGCCACGACTACCACTCAGATCCAGCAAGAGACTAGACAGCTCCAACAGGAGACCAAATCATTGACCACGAATATGACTCAGCTCCAGCAAGAAACTAGAGCCTTAATCATGAGCACTACTCAATTCCAGCAGGACACCAGAGTAGGCATGAAAGATATGGAGACTCGAATAAACTAAATGGCAACTGCCATCAATTGCCTGGAGTCTCACGTTTATGAAAAATTGTCATTGCAATCCGAGGTAAATTCCAAGAATGTAAGTGCCATGACACTGAGGAGTGGCAAGGAACTGGAGGGATCTAAAGTGAAAAATTCGAAAAGCAAAAGTGAGGAGGAGATAGAAATGAAAATTAAAGAGAAAGGACGTATTCGCGAGAATCCTAAGGTAACATTCACTCCCCCTATTAAATCTAACTTATCTCCTTTTCCTGACAGATTAGAAAAGATAAAGAAGGAAAAGAAGGAAAAAGAGCTTTTGAATGTGTTCCAAAAAATGGAGATCAACATCCCCTTATTGGATACAATCAAGCGATACCTAAGTACGCCAAATTTTTGAAAGATTTGTGCACCCACAAAAGGAAACTAAGGGGTGACAAAAGAATGGCGGTGGGAGAAAATATATCAGCTATACTCCAAAGGAAACTCCCACCAAAGTGTGGGGATCTAGGTATATTCACAATTCCCTGTAAAATAGGAGGTATCCCAATTAGAAAAGCGATGTTGGATTTAGGAGCGTCAATAAATGTAATATTTAAGACTATTTATGCGTCTCTTAATTTTGAGTCATTAAAAGGTACAGGCATTATAATCCAATTAGCAGACCGTACCAATGCCTATTCAAAGGGGTTAGTTGAGGATGTCTTGGTACAGGTCAATGAGTTAGTTTTCCTAGCAGATTTTTATGTCCTAGATATGGGGGATGAAAGGTCATTAAATTCGTCGTCGATTTTGTTAGGTAGACCTTTTTTAAACACTACTAGGACAAAAATAGATGTGAATGAGGGTGCTTTGTTAATGGAATTTGATGATAAAATTGTAAATTTTAATGTTTTTGATGCGATGAAATACCCTGAGAAATCTAACTCTGTTTTTGTTTTGAGTGTTATTGAGTCTCTTGTACAGGAAACATTTGAATTGGATGGGGAGAACGCATTGGAAGTGGCTTTGGTAAAGCACATTGAGTTGGGGGCAACTCTCAGTATGGAAATAAGTGATGAACTGTATCGTGGGGTTGAAGCACTACACTCACTTCCATTAATTTCCTCAAGGTATGAGATCTCTTCTGTATTTGTACCTGAAATTCAGACGAAATTGTTGCCTTCCATTGTGCAGGTATCTGAGTTGGAGTTTAAACCCCTCCCAAAGCACTTAAAATATGCATTTCTTGAGGACAAGGAGACACTACCGGTGATAATATCTGCACACCTGTCACCGAGCCAAGAAGGCAGCCTGGTTCGTTTTCTTCGAGATTCTAAAGAGGCGATTGGGTGGTACATTGCAGACATCAAAGAAATCAACCCGTCATTATGTATGCACCGGATACGGCTTGAAGATAATGTAAAATCGGTAAGACAGGAGCAGCAGAGATTGAACCCACTAATGATGGAAGTGGCAAAGAAGGAGATACTTAAACTTCTAGAAATGGGAATCATCTTCGCCATCTCGGACAGTTCATGGGTGAGCCCAATTCAAGTGGTCTCGAAAAAAGTGGGAGTAACGGTGGAAGAGAATCAGGAAGGTGAGATGGTCCCAGTGAGAAAACCCACAAGATGGCGCCAGTGCATCGACTACCGACGACTGAATGCCGTGACGAAAAAAGATCACTTCCCCCTCTCTTTTATTGATAAGATGATATAAAGGTTGGCTGGTCGTATTTACTATTATTTTCTTGACGACTTTTCAGGGTATTTTCAGTTAGCGATAGCATCGGAAGACTAGGAGAAAACTACATTCACCTACCTATTTGGCACGTTTGCCTATCGGAGGATGCCTTTCAGCCTCTGCAATGTTCCAACAACTTTTTAGAGGTGTATAGTAAGTATATTCTCCGAATATGTAGAAAAAATTATTGAAGTGTTTATGAATGATTTTAGTGTATATGGAGATAGTTTTGAAGAATGCCTTGATAATTTAGCTTTAATTCTGAAACGATGCATAAAAAGAAATTTAGTTCTTAATTGAAAAAAATATCACTTCATGATGGAGTATGGTATTGTCTTAGAACATGTAGTGTCGGATAGGGGCATAGAGGTAAAGCGAAAGTCGATATTATTTCTGCTTTACCTTACCCCATAAGCGTACGGGAAGTGCAGTCCTTTTTGGGCCATGCAGGGTTCTACAGGATATTTATCAAAGATTTCTCCAAAATTGGAGCGCCCCTGTTCAAACTGTTACAAAAGAATGTAACATTTGATTTCATCGAGGAGTGCAGGATGGCATTTGACAAATTGAAGGAATCGTTAACCTCACCGCCCGTCATCCAACTGCTGGACTGGAGTCTCCCATTTGAAATAATGTATGACGCGGGTGACTATGCAGTGGGAACGGTGTTGGGACAAAGGATTGGTAGGGCGGCACATGCAATCTACTATGCATCGAAAGCGTTGAACGGGGAGCTCAACTTAACTACTCTACAACGGAGAAAGAATTATTAGCTGTTGTTTTTGCATTAGAAAAGTTTAGACTTTATTTATTAGGTGCAAAAATAACAGTTTTCTCTGACTATATAGTCTTAAGGTATTTGATGACAAAGAAGGACGCGAAACCAAGGCTCATCAGATGGATTCTGCTCCTTCAAGAGTTCAACTTAGAGATTAAAGATAAAAGTGATACAGAGAATTTGATTGCTGATCACTTGAGCCGCTTGCTTACACATAAGGAGAAGCAACTATTGAGAGAGACATTTCCAGAAGAGCAACTACTTGCTTTTGATTCGCCTGCACCTTGGTATGCCGACATCGTGAATTTCTTAGTAACTAACCAATTGCCTACAGGTTGGCCCAAGACTAGGAGAGACAAGTTAAAAAGTGATGTCAAATATTACATTTGGGACGACCCCTACCTGCGGAGGCAATGTTCGGACCAAGTACTAAGAAGATGTGTAAGTGCAGGTGAATTTCATTCCATTTTAAATTTTTGTCATTCGTTTGCATGTGAAGGGTATTTTGGGTATAAGTGAATAGCTCGTAAGGTACTGGAGAGTAGCTTTTATTGGCCAACCCTTTTTAAAGATGCATACTTATTTTGTAAATCTTGTGATAAGTGTCAAAGGGTGGAAAATATTTTTCGTAGGGACCAAATACTCCAAACCCCTATGTTGTTTGTTGAAATTTTTGATGTTTGGAGAATAGATTTTATGGGGCCTTTTCCCTTGTCTTTTGGTTTCGTATATATCTTACTTGCGGTTGATTATGTTTCTAAGTGGGTGGAAGCAAAAGTCACCCGTACTAATGATTCTAGAGTGGTTACAGAGTTTTCAAAGTCTAACATATTTGTCCTCTTTGGGATGCCGAGAGTTGGGTAAGTGATAGGGGCACACACTTTTGTAATAACACTGTGGCTGCTTTATTTCGAAAATATGGCATGCTCCATAAGGTATCCACACCGTATCACTCACAGACAAATGGTCAAACCGAAGTGTCAAATAGGGAGATTAAATCAATTTTGGAGAAGATGGTACGCCCGGACAGGAAGGATTGGAGCTTGAAGTTAGAAGATGCACTGTGGGAGTACCACATCACGTACAAGACGCCGATTGAGATGTCTCCGTACAGACTTATCTTCGATAAGGCTTGTCATCTTCTCGTGGAATTCGAACACAAGGCGTTCTGGGCAGTGAAGCAGTATAACATGGACCTGGAAGAAGCGGGGGTTTAAAGAAAATTGTAATTACAAGAATTGGAAGAGATTAGAAATGAAGCATACGAAAATGCCACGATTTATAAGGAGAAGAGAAAAATCTTCCATGATCAGCAAGTCTCAAGAAAATCTTTTGTAGTGTGGCAAAAAGTTCTCTTGTATCACTCGAGACTAAAACTTTTTTCCAGTAAGTTGCGTTCTCGTTGGATTGACCCCTTTGTCATTTCTAATGTGTTTCATTATGGTGCAGTGGAGATGCAAAGTTTAAAGACGGAGAAGAAATTCGTGGTGAATGACCATCATCTCAAACCTTATTATGAAGGATTCTCTGTTGAAGAAATGGAAGTTGTACACCTCAAGGATCCAATTTATCTCGTTTGAGAGTTTCGATCGTATCTAGCCAAAGACATTAAATAAAGGCATTACTTAGGAGGCAACCTAAGGTTATTTGTTTTAGTTTTCATACATTTTTTGAAGTTTTTGTTAAGTGTTGATGTCATTTAATAGTTTGTTGTTTTATGGCAGGAAATTAGCAGTTGGATGTGCCCACGCTAAGTGGTCACGTCTAAGGAAAAGAGTTGGAGGGAGATGATCAGAAGACTCTATAGCAGTTAAGCGTGCTCATGCCAGGTGGTCACGCTTAAGGGAAGAAAATCTGCGTCGACGATTAGAAAACTCTATAGTAGTTAGGCGTGTCCACGCCAGGTGGTCACGTTTAAGGATCAAAAATTTTCGACGGATGGTCAGCAGACTAGTAAGCAGTTAGGCGTGCCCACGCCTAATGCAGGGGTCCCTTGTTCGTTTTATTAAAAAAAATGAATTTTATGAAAAGATGAAATTGCCCTTACTAAAAAAAAATAGAGAGGAAGTGGATAGCACTGCGATTGACCTATTTTTTCTTTCTTTTCTTTTTCTTCCTTTTTCTTTCTTTTTCTTCTTCTTTCTTTCTTTCTTTCTTCTTCTTCCGTTTCTTTCTTGGCCGTCGCCGCAGCTCGACACGATCCGCCACCGCAACTCCCATCTTCCCTCTCACGTCACCAGCGCGCAGCGGTCAGGAGCACCGCGTGTGCCACGCCCGCCATCGCAGCGCACCAGCGCCGCCCTCTGACCACAGCACGCCACCACAGGAGCGCAACTCCCTCAGTGAGGCCCCGAGCGAGCGTGACAGTCAGCCCAGCCCGTGGCCTCGCGTCTGCGCTCCACAGCAGACCCCAGCGGCGTCCTTCTCGCTCAGCAGCAGTAGACCTAGCGGTGACCGCCCCGAGCACACGAACCCCAGGCAACCTCAGGCGTGCGACCAGCGCACCTCGCCGCGCGCCACCGTACCCACTGTTGCACCACCGTACCCACTGCTTACTTCCAAACTCCGGTGATCACTTTCTTTAATTTTCTGTCACTATAGTGGAGGCCAGATTATTAGTTTTTGATTAGCTGAGGATAGATTATTAATTTCGTACCTGAGGCTAGATTTTTTATTTGCTAGCTGATGACAGACATTTTATGCTTAATTTGGGTGCTGCGATTTTGCCTGTGACTATTGTGGACTATTTGTTAAATTTTGGAGTTAAACCAGTGGTATTTGTGGGAAATTTTGCTATTTTCTTCTGTTTAATTAGTTTTTAGGTGTTTGTTGCTTTTTTCTCTGATTGTTGGTATTTGAGAGCTGTAGTTGGTAAATCCTACCTTGTTGGCTGCTTGTTCACATATTTTTAGCACATTTCCCCTATCCAGCAGACTAAATGACCAAACCAAAAAATAAAGGTAAGAACAAACCTTCCACCTCCACCCCACAGACTACGGTCCCCTTAGGTGGACCTATCCCAGCGATTGCTCCGGGAGGGCCCCAGACCCGCCTTGGGCGGAATAGGGAGGTTCATATCTTCTCTCCAGCCCACTTGATATATTGAATCTTAGGGATAAGGTCACGAAACATTTAGCTGACATAGGGTGGACTCGTTATGCAGCTATCATTTTACTTGCTTTTACTGAGTTAATTTGAAAATTTTATGCCACTTTTGAATTTAATGTTCCTGACGAATTCTCTGTTACTACTCCAGGGATAGTGCAGTTTAGATTAATGGGTAAAGAATTCACCTAATCTATCACTGAATTTAATTTGACCCTTGGGTTCATTGACATTTCCTACTCCCAGAATGAGGAATATATGCACAGTCTGTGTGAATACACGGAGCCATTTTTCTCTCATAACATTAGTTGTTGGAGAGAATTATCGGTTGATCGATAAAACTATGACCCCAACCAATTTAAGGCATCTTTTCTTAAGAACCTCACCTACCGTTATTTACATAAATTTATGGCTTACAGTTTCTCTGGTAGAAAGGATAGTTCAGGTACTTTGACCAAACCCGAATTCTTTTTCATTTGGTGCATGGTTGCTCATATTAAGGTCAATTTGGGTTGCTGGTTTGCTCTCCACCTCCGAACTGTATTAAGTAAGAAAAATAAGCCATTAATCTTGGGCTCATTTATCACTCAATTGGTTGTAAATCTTGGGATTTTGGACTTGAATAATCATAATTTGCATCGTGCTTGTACTATGGAACCCCTTGATTTGATTTGTATGAAAAAGATGGGATTAGTGCAATAGGTGAATGGCGTTTTCCAATTTGCTCCACCAGGGCCGATCCAGGTTCCTCCGAAGCGCAGAGCTTCCAAATCTTCCACCTCGGAGGCTGGTGGTCCTTCTACAGATGCCCCCGGACCGTCCACTTTAGCCTCCACCATCTTCCTCCGCCGATAGTCAGTCTTCAGCTCTTCGCTTCCAGCTGCACCACATAGATACTCGATTGGATCGAATGGAGCGACAAATGGCCGGAATGGCGCAAAACTTAGCTCAGTACCCCCACCACGTGGGTTTCCGCCCGCCCGTCCCTCCACAGCTTTAGTTCACTTCTGCCCTCCTCCGTGTTAAGGGAAGTATCGTTGCCTCAATACCTTTGTTTTGATCTTTCCGTGCTTACACTGAAGGCAATGTAAGGTTTAGGTGTGAGGAAGGGTTAACTATGCTTTCAGTGATGCTTTTAGTTGTTTGATTAGATTTTTCCTTGCCTTAGTAGTTCTTTGCCTTAAACAGTGATGAATGCACTTGAGATATGAGTATAAGTTGTAAGTTCATACCATGGGATGTTCTACTTTTTCTCGATAATGAATTGATTGATGAATATGCTGAACTTGACATAATTTGACCACTTGTGCAATTTTTGAGCCTAATTTTTCGTTTGTTGAGTGATTAGTGCACATGGTTTGTCATTCTAGAACTTGCTCGGTTATGCATGTCAAGACCACATTTAAATGAGTTTAATACATTAAAATGATAGGGCACCTAGGATTGAACCATTTTTGGACTTTCTTAAAAACCAACCTTTAGTTTATTTACCATTAGGGAGCCAAGTTGAGCCTTCACCCTTATTCTTCGCTTGATACCCTAGTTTTTAGTCGTAAAATCTCTTTTTAGACTTTCTTTTTGAATCTCGTGTAAAGAAGTGCTTTGATTTCATTACATAGAAATTTGGAGTATTATTTGAGAGGCATTACATATATATAAGAAAGAAAGGAAAAAAAGAAAAAAAAATGCAAGTGATCAACAAGCGAAGTTGATTTCTATGGTGTTGGTACTTACTGGAAAAAAAGAAAAGAGAAAAAAAAAAGGGGAGAAAGAGAGAAAAAGAGAGGAGAAATAGATGAATGAAAATATGAGAAAGAAAAGAAGCCAAAGGTTGTGACGAGTGCCAACTTTTACTTCACTTGTTGGACTGTTGAGATGTCTTGAAGTTTCAAATGTGCACGAATCTGTGTAATGAATTCCTGAGCATTTTCTTTACATTTTTACACCCTTCGAATCCTGTTTTATCCTACCTTCTCACCCCAGTCCCATTACAACCTTGCAAAGTCCCTTGATTGTTGCATTTAAATTCATAAGTAAGTGGTGGCGATATGATATATGAGCAAACTTAAGGTAGTGTCATTCTATCGTGTTGATTTGAAAGCCATCTTATATACATATCCTATACACTTTGGAGTGAATGAGTGCACTTTAAACTGCGAGAATTGTTGATTTGGTATATTCTGATTTCGATAAGGTTATTGGGGAATTTGGAATGCCATTCTTGGTATGAACTGCTGTGAATTGCTTGGTATTTTGATTACACTTCTGAGTTAATTATGCTTGAAGGCAAGCATAGTTTAGGTGTGGGGGAGATTGATAGGGTGTATTTTAGTGGGATATTTTGGGCATTATTGCACAATTGTTTGACTAAATATTTCATTAATTGGGTGGATTCTACTCAAATAAGGTTTTGGTGCTAATTGCAGGAACTGATGCTGAAAAGTGCTTAAAATCAAAATTTAGAGGATTCGTCGTACATGGGGCACTTCAAGCAGTGGGGTCCGCTTGAAAAGCTGAAGAAATTAAATTGTAATAGACTTTATTTTATTTTATTTAGGGAGTCTTGTTTATTTGGAATGCCAATTCTGATAAGAGGAAATCCTTTCCTTAGATTTCGGGGCTACTAAAACTAAAGGGTGGAAGTATTAGACTCCTAGGGGACTGCTTGTTTGAGGGAGAATTTCGTTTTGGTTGAGATTTGGTCCGTTCTTTCTTTTGGAGTTTTTGGTTGGCCGTGGCTTTAGTAGGCAACCAGGAGACAAAAAGGCCATCATTGTTGATCTTATGATTTTTTTCTTATTTTATTGACCCAATTGAGAAATCAAGTAAAAAACCACTCTCGTATGTCTTTATAAGCAATTAGGGAGAAAAGGCAACAAAGGCTAGCCACCATTGTTGACTTGTAGTTAATGATCTTCACCTTTGTTCGACACAATTGAAGGAAGCAATCTGACTCCATGTACGTTTGGGCCTTTAGAGACCACTGAAAGTAATCAAATTCCTTGTTCTTGTCTTCAGTTGCTGACCGAAATTGAAAGGTCCAATTCGGAAACCTTTCCCAATTCTCCACGCGTGATTTGTCCTCCATTAATGGAGGGCTAATTCTCTAATT